ATTACTATCCCATCCCTACAAAAAATGATATCTTAGCCAAAGCAAAGTATAATTATTAATATATATAGGTAATATGAAATGTTGACATAATCCAAATTAGAATCTAACTTTCCTAAAATGTAGTAATTCTAATCATAAATATATGATAATGAGAAGTAATTATATTCCACATCATCATTCGAAAGGAATTAATCATGGAAAAATTCTCCTCAAAAATTCTAATCACAAATCATACCTTAACCTAAATAATAAAGATATTCATCTAATTAACATTATCAATATGATAAATAAAAAAGTAATTTTATAGGGGGCTATAAAAATTTAGGTAATTATTGAAGTTGATTATTTAAATTAATATGATTAACATTAAAAATAAATTACAATCAATTCAAGTACTCATTTATCTTAATTTATTATACATCCTTTAAATAATAGACTATAGATTCATGATAAATGCATTTCAATTTACTTAATTGAGATTTCTTAGAATATTAAAAATTATGCTCATTTTTTAAAATTGGAAACTTTTGAATTAACTTTTAATCTTGAGTTTCAAATGCTTTTTATTGTTACCAATTTTAACACAATTTTAAAAGCTTATCATGTAATCTATTTCTCTTTTTATTGATTTTTAAATATTTGTAAAATATCATTATTACTAATTCCTTAATTTTTAATCTAATGGAAATAAATTAAAATTTAATGGCAGTTAAATATATATAATAAAAGTGTATTTCAATCGTGAAAAGTAATCAAATTATATAGTGTTGAATAAATATAAAAATTGAATCAAATTAGCAATTTCTGGAAACTAGATTAAATTATTCAAATTGTTTCTAATATAAATATTTTTAATTCTAAGATTTAGAAGTATATGATAGATAAATACAATATTTTTTTGATCAATTAATTATTAATATAGATTTTCTAAAAAATTTGTAAGTATATTTATTCCAAATGACAATAGTAATTTCTTAAAAGGGTAGGTTAATAAATTAAAAATGATCAATTAATATATATTATTGAGAAAAATCACCAAAAGTGTTGCTTTAAAAATGCTTAAGAGGATTTGATATGAAGGGTCATTTTCGAAATGGTTCAATTTAGGTAAATAGATTCATAAAATAAAAAGAATTTAAGTTATATTGATTTCTCTCATTACTTTATAAATATCCTAACCAATTATTTTTTTGTTAAATGTAATAAAATATCAATATTGTTATTTTATAATTTATTATATGAATATTCCCCAATATGAAAAACAATCACAGGTTTTTTTTAAATCTCTTAAATTTCATTAGATTTCAGGGTTTTTAAACCAATTAAATTCAAATTTCTTTTTGATTTTTGATTTAAATTATATATATCTACTCTTAAATATTTTTAATAATTTGAATATTGTTTAAATAATTTATCCACCTTCTCTTTCTTATCTATTAAGAAAAATTTTATGTATTTCGTAATATCTTTTTTATTTTGAAATTACCTATCATCTTAGATACATGTATTTAAAAAATTGGCTGTTAATGTTTAAGCTTATCTGATTAATTAAGATATTTATACGAGGTTAAATTGGTTTATTTCAATCATAAGAAACATTATATCTTATTTAATTATATTGATTTCTATTATCTTATTGTTTTATGACTAGAGACTTAAATGGCTTCTAAATTTCTTTGTATCTATTATATTGATGATATAATTAAGGTATTAAATTTTTTAATAATTCCTAGTTTAACTCAATTTGGTAATTTTTGAATATTAAGCTACTCATGATTAAATTAGTCTCCTCAATATTCATTGAAAATAAAGTATAGTAATAATTAAATTTCCTTTATTTTTGAATCAAATAAAACCAATAAAATGAAATTCAATATATCAA